TGTTAGACTTACTCCACTGAAATATATCAGTGAGAATAATCTGGTATTTGAAGATATCGCCATCCAGAAATGAGAAAATCTCAAAATTTGGGAGCTGAAAAATCACCTACTTATCTCCACGCAGTTTTGTGGTCATGCTCTGATAGCTAGATGTGGACTTCATGCAGATAACACCTGACACTTTACAGTGATGACTGTACTTTAAAAAGGCTGTTAAATGATGCATGAGGTTCAAAGGATTTCCACAGGATTTTTCTCTCCATATGAAAGTTAACATAAAGACGACTGACTGTATTTCTCTGATGCCTGTGTTTATCTCAAGACAGAAGGAACAGCCCTTATCTTTGACCAAAAACAGAGCAGCATCCGACATATCTACTCAGAAACACAGCAGTGGGTCTGTAAGTGCAGTAGAAACACCTGGATACTTCACTAGGGCATGGCAAGGTGAGCCTGGAAATCTCCTACAGTGTTTGAGAAAAATGAGTTTCTATACAGCTCCTTTTTACATATCCTAAAGCCAGGCAAAGTCCTAAAACCTGAATACCTACTGCACTTCTTTCACCCTGAAATTCATCCCCAATCCTAGCAGAGCTGAACACGCATATTATCTGTTTGGGAAAACTAAGAAAATATGGCAAGAAGCCATAAGTTTTGGTCAAGAATAGAGAACAAACTTCTGTATGTCCACACTCATCAGGGAAGCTCTACTGTTTTTAAATACAGAAGTATGTTAGCACTCTAATTCCACAACAGAAACTGCGCTGAGGAGACAACATCAAGGGAAACAGCAGAACAAGGTTTTGAAGGTTAACAATATGGGCTTGACTACACACGGAGTTATTCACAGCTGTTTCTGAACAGCAGCACAGACAGGCAAGCCCTGCAAAAAGAAAGTGGAAGTTCCCCACTTGACTCCTTTTCTTCCCTAGCAAGAAAAGGAGTAAAGCAAGAATTTTAAAGGAGTGGTCCTTCAGCCTTTATGTCCTGCACGGCACTGCAAGATCATCTCATTAAGACCGTCTCAACTTCTGAAGCCTCATGTTTCCACATGTCACTTGGCAAAGTCCTACAGATCATCAGAAAGAGCTCAAAGCTACAAGCTCTGTATTAAGGGAAGGTCTTTTTCAAGATACTTTTAGTATGAGGAAGTGCCCTATCTGACAGACAAGAGGGAAAATAGCAGGGCAACAGTTGCACCACTCACCCCAGAGAAGCCCACAATAAATTTTCTTTTCCTATTACAAATTGTCAATTCACAGAATCACAGAATATCCTGAGTTCAAAGGGACCCACAGGGATCAAGTCCAGCTCCTGGTCAAGCACTCTCTCCAGGAATCACACCATGTGCTTGAGAGCATTGCCCAAATGCCTCTTGAACTCTGTCAGGCTTGGTGCTGTGACCACTTTGCTGGGGAGCCTGTTCAGTGCCCAAACATCCTCTGGGTGAAGAGCCTTTTCTTAATAAGTAACCAAACTCTCAGCTGACACAGCTTCATGCCATTTCTATACCATAATAATTTTTTTTAGTTCTTTTTAAAATTAAAAGGTAATAAGGCAAGCTAATGGAAATAACAGCAATTACTTAACAATTACTAAGGTTAGTATTGCAGAGAAAACTTAGTATTACTGAAAAAAAGCAGTTTTGACATACCGCTCACCCTCATTCCCCACTCCACCTCCCAAAAAATGTGGGCTACTTCTGAAAATACCTTACCAAGCTTCCTAGAACTTTGATTTTTTGTCTCAGGGCATCACCAATCTGTCGCACTATTTCTCCCCGTTTAGGTGCAGGGATCTAGTCAAAAGAAAACAGAGGAATCTATGTGAGATTGAAAATCTGTAACTCCTGCTATATATATACTTCTAGTTTTCTGTCCTTGCAGTAAGCAAGGACTGATTGCTGTGCTTTTTTGCTTATCTTCTGAAGACACTGTTACTTGTTCATTTTTATCATGTGCACTGGTTTACAAGAAACTGTTTTCTGCCTCAGGGACTGATAGCAGTACAAACATTTTGTCTGTTCAAAACTTCAGTTTCACTAAATATTGCCAAAAGCATTCAGATTAATTCTATTACTTCTGTTCAACTACATCAGCCCAAATGCAACCAATCAGCTGCATCTCAAGAAATAAGCATTTTCATAAAAGTGCACTTAATGGTTTCTGAGCCTTGAAGTGTACTTAATAACACACTTTCAAACTTTCTTTTAGTATGACATTTACCTTGTTAGCAGAAATTAAGACACACAAAAAACTCAATCATGAAAATATTAAGCTCATACACCTACTCTTAATATTTTTTTTTAATGTGGTACCAGTATGGTAAATAATAATGCATAGCATCAATTTGCAAACCATATGCAATCAGTTCTCTATAGAAACAAGACTGAGGAAAAATGCATAAACCATGCAAGCATATCTCTTTACAGACAATATCTTTTCAAATAAGCTCATTACAAACAGCAAAGTTCACAAATTAATAACAAATAGGTTTGAGAAAAAGCCTTCAAGAAACATTTGATGCGTTGATTCATTTTTTGTTGGATTGCTTTCAGGTTATTGCCGAACATGTTAAGAGTTACCAACATTATACCCACAAACTGTAACAAAAAAAACACTAACATATTCTGAGGAAGCTGTTTTGTTTATCCTAAACTTTGTTGTCTTCAGACGAGGTAAACTACTTTGCTGGCTAAAACACAGCGTGCACATTGCCTTTTGAAATCCAAAGAAACAACAGGTAGCTGTAAGAACCAAGCCTGGCACTGCCAGCAACAGAATGGGTGCCGGCTGGACACAGCTGGTAGGTCTGCATGGGGAACTACAGCTTGCTAAGGAAAAACAGCTTAGCTATTACATACAACGTAACACTAATGCTTTTGAACCACACAGCCGTTCCGTGAAATACCAAGACAGCAGGTGAAACAAAAACCCCCATGCTTATAACCAGCAGTTGTTCCCACACCAGGGAACAAGAAGATGAACAGAAGTTACTCCTCCAAATACTCCACATATCTCTCCCAGAAGAGGGGGTGACAGGAAGTGAAACATGCACAGGGACAGTTTACTTGCTACACGGTTTCTGAACTTCACCAGACCTGTTGGCAACAGCACACAGGCACAAGCCTTGGTAAATCTGCCAGGGTTTTCAAAACAAATATATCCCACAAGTCAATGTCCTCATCTTTGTACCTCAATGGCATCACACACACAAACTATCTGGGTTTGTTTCTTGAGGTCCCCATTGCAGATTTTTGCGCTAATGCACCACACACAGTACGAACACATTTTTACACCTTCACTTTATGGGGCAATTAATAGCCTGTCTCTGCCAGAGATCTGTAATAAAAGAGAAATCTCCATTAACTTACATCAGCCCAGACCTTCCATGCCTCTTTAGCCTTCTTTACTGTTTCTTCATAATCCTCCAAATTACCCTACATGACGAAGCACATCAAAGTTAAGAAAATCAAATCCCCAAAAGAAATGCCACAAAAAAGCTTCTGCATCCAACTCAAGATATTTTTATAGAGAGTACTTGCACTACAGGGTGCGACTTTTATAGGATGCCTGTAACTTGACACAATTTGGATCCAATATTACAAATTGTCTGAAGCCACTGTCAATGAAAAGCACATGTGCTACCTAAATTAAAAAAAAAACAAACAAAAACCACCCAAAACAAAAACAAACAAATAAAAAAAAAAAAGAAAAAAAAAACACAAGCAGAAATTTTCATTCAGGTGTTTGAGGAAGCTCCATATAGAATAACGGACGGTTTTATATACGTTTGTATCTAGACATACATACACACATATACAAATATGTCCTACTCCATCAGCATCACTGGGCATCAAGGGTTAGTTGAGTCCTAATACACAAAAGGAGTAGATTACTATTCTTTTACTGTAAGAATAGTGCTATTCTTACAGTAAAAACATTCACAAATTTACTACTTGAATGTCACGTTGGTCTCCTAACTACTTGCTCCCAGGCCTCTCATCCCTACTAAATAGGCACAATCTGCCCCTATTCTGCAATTTCCCTCAGGACAAACGAAAAGGGAAGGGAGGAGCCCTTGCTCTTCCCAACAACGCTTGCAAGAGTGCAAGGCGGAGGGCTGAAGGACAAGTTAAAAAAAAAAAAAAAAAAAGAAAAAAAAAAAAGGGCAAACAAACTGTTTTTCTTCCCAGGAAAGCCGCAGGCATATTGCCAGCAGTAGGCCCTGGCTGCGAGGAGCACCAGCGGTCGCCCTGGACTCAACATCCCACGGACCCTGAAGTGGAATCGGGAGTTTCGTGCCCTTCGCCACCCGGGTGGCGGGCAGGGGCAGCGCCCAAAC